TTGTAAGTGCTATGCACTTGGAAGGAGCTCGACATTTATTAAGCACCTACTGTGTGCTAGATACTGTTCAGATGACTTTAGACATATTAACTCATTTAGTCCTCACCATGAGCCCCCACCCCCGACATCCGACCAAGTTGTGATTGTTGTTGTCCTTATTTTACAAATGAAAATAGAGAGACACAGAAAGGTCAAGTAGCTTGCCTGAGGTCACCCAGCTGGCAAAGGGAGCAGGGGTATATTACTTCTTAGGAAATCTTAAGCCAAAAAAATTCTATACATCCTGTTGCTGATCAAGAGGTGGATCACCTTGTGCTTGAACACATTCCTACAAACAAGTATGGTTACAAAATCCCAGCATTACAGGGACACTCACCAACCCTTCATTTTACAGAGGAGGAAATTTGCAGTCCAGGAAGGGGAGGGTTCTTGTCCCAGGTCACAAAGCAATTTAGAGGAGAGCTCCCAGCCTCCTGTTGGCCCACAGCTCAGAGCAGCTCTGCCTGGGAGAAATGTTACTGATTATTCCAGTTCCTCCTGCATTCGAATATAAGACAACACTCCGATGTAGCCCGTCCTTCAGAGACAATGAGTGTCCAGTGATGAGCAAGAACTGCCCCGCGGAGCTGCCCATACTCTATGGCCCAGGTCCTCCTCTGTATTCAAGGAGCAAACTTGGGCAGAGTGAGGGGACCTGGCCTTGTTAGGGATCAGACTCCCAAACTGCAGCCTCATCAGCACCTGCTCTAGTCCTTGTTGTAACCTGCTGGGACACCTTTGAAGACAAAGCCTGTCTTGCTGTCCCTGTTGTGCAATGAGCTTTCGAAAGCCCCTGGCCCTCACCACCGCTCCCCCGCAACCTCTGCTCCTTCCACACCCCACCCACTACCAAATGCTATGCCCTCAAGGTTAACTTCAAAATAAAGCCCTGGAGTCCAGCCAATAAGAATCCCCTCCCTGGCTCTGAGAACTTGAGCTGCTTAGTAGGAATGGGGAACTTGAACATCGGTCCCTCTTTGCAGGGTTTGCACAGCTCTGTGACCAGCACACACATTCTCTGCCACATAAGCCTCATTTTACAGATGAGGAAACTTGGGTAAGGGGTGGGGAGAGGCCTGCATGCCGAGCTAGTAGGGCCTGGATTCAAAGCTGGATCTTTCTTTCCCTCTTTTTAAAATGACCAACTATTCTTATTAACAGTATGGCATGCCTGTCTGGCACACTGCATAATACATTTTTCCCAGATTTTTTGACTGAGCTCTTTGATTGCCTCTTCATAGGAGAACAATTTTTTAAAATTGTGGTAAATGTTTATATTTATATATGTGTAACATAAATGTTATTTTAACCATTTTAAGGCAAAATTCAGTGGCATTAAGTACATTCACAGTGTTGTACAATCATCACCACGATTTCCAAGACTTTTTCATCAACCCAAGTAAAAACTCTGTAACTGTTAAGCAATAACTTCCCAACGTTCCCCTCCTCTGAACCTTGGTACCACTAATCTACTTTTCGTTTCTAAGAATTTGCTTCTTCTATTTATTTATTTGTTTGTTTATTTTGGGAGAAATAAGAACACTGGGTAGGAAGAATTTGCCTATCATAGATGCTTCATAGAAGAAGAATCACACAATATCTTGTTGCCCTTTGTGTCTGCAGAGTCAACTCTCTTCACCAGTAAGCTGGACTTCTCTGCTTCTCAGGCCCCCGGTTTCTCCCTGCCTCCCTCCCAGGGATGCCGTTGGGGTGGGAGTCCCGACATGAGTGATGTCATCACAGGGAGGGCCAGTCCTATGGAAGCTCAGGGTCCCCTGTCTCCAGCAGGTAGAAGCACCTGGCCTGGTCCTGAGCGTTACCGACAGGACCAATGAAGCAGCATGTTAGGGGGCAAGAAAAAGGAGTTTCCAGCAGGCAGATGGGGCAAGGAGTGACCCCCAAAGCGTCCAGGGGCCCGGGCACTACACTGCCACAGGTGGCCAGGGCGAGCCGTAGATGGACCATATTGGGCACATTTGGTGATGGTTTTGCTGAAGTGGGCCTGGAAGCTGCTGTCCACACTGGAACAAGCCTCTGGCACCTAGTGGGCGCCTCCTGAACTAGAAGGTGGCTCAGTTGTGTTGTCCTTACTGGATGGGGGGAGGTTGAGGCTGTTTCCCCACTCACAGCCCCCGGCCCCGGAAAGACGCCTCTTCCTCTGACCTCAACCTCAGCTGGAAACACAAAGCAGAGCCTGCTCAGCCCCACCCTTCTCCGGTCCTCAGAACCTCGTGCTACCCTTCTACCCAAGCTGGCTGTGCCCGCTCTCTGCACAATGGCCATCCGGAGGTAGTCCTGTGTCCGGTCCTTCCTTGGCCGGAGGCAATATCCAGACCCTTCCTCCACCCTTCCAGGCCTCCCGCCCACTCCTGAATCTCCACTTTGAAAGCTTTCCACCGACAAGTGATCTCTCACAACCGCCTTCACTTCCCCTCCCAGTCCAACCTGCCCCTCCCACAGGCCCCAGCCTACCCATTTCCTCTGCCCTTTTCACCCTTTGGCGCCAGAACTCAGCTATTCTGAGCCTTTGGCCCAGCTCTTTCCTCCTTCCAGCTGCTCCTGTGCTGGGGCCTCCATCTCTTGCTTTTTCTCTTTGGAGTTAACTGTTACTTAGCCCTGCACCCTAACAAAGAAATGCACCCTGAAAGCCTGTGGCACTAAGGTATGGGGAACATCAAAGGTAACCAGACTCAGCACAGACCTAACACTTGAGTTACCTATTTGGAAATGTTAAATGCAGGCCACTGCATCGCTAGATTGTGTGTGTGTGTGTGTGTGTGTGTGTGTGTTTGTGTGCGCGCGTGCACCAGTAGACTCTGGGTCCTTCCAAGAAGCTTTTCAAAGCGATCTTTCTCCCCCTTGCCAGAAACAATTAATAGTCCTTTTTTGGTTACCTGAGTTTCTTCCTTCTTGTATAACACAACAGCCACAGGGTTTCCAGGTTTCTTTGAGAAGATGCTAGGGCAATGACTGCAGAGCTTATAAAAGTACACAGAACGGTATGTTTGAAAAGATCATTTTCTGTATTCAGCTCTGAAAAGCTTTCCCTAAGAGCAGCAACAGTCGGATAAAGGTGACTGCCCACATAAAACAGTTTTAGTAGGGTTTCAGATCCCTTTCAGAGTGTGGGGAAGAGAGAAGGGAGGGGAAAGGACTACCAGAAGGAAAAACAAGTCCACATGCTTTGATTTGGCCTTGGTGACCAGAACAACACACTCTGAGGGTGCCACAGTCAATATTCGCTTCACTGAGCTTCTTATCAGGCTCCAACCCATGGGGAGCAAAGGGCAGAGCTTGGCAGGAGCCCAGGTGCTGTGTGAGGGTTCAGGGTGAGGCCTAGGCTGATTAAGCTGTCCTGGGCCTTTAGGTCAGAGGCTCCCTGCAAAGAGGTCCTTGGAAAAGGCTTACTGCTGCGAGACCACCTCCTGGGATCCCTGCACCAAAGTTTTCAGGTCTGGAAACTGGCAAATTTTTGTTTGACAAATATGTGGTTGACGTGCAGGTTATTCTAAACATGACACAAACCCCACAAGTTATAAGGGGGGAAAGTGGTAGATTTGATTACAAAAATACCACAATCCAAGTTAAAAACAGACTGGGAGAAAATATTTGCATTATAAGTTACAGACATAGGTTTAAATCTATAATATACAAAGAACTCCTATGCATCAATAAGGAAGAACATGAAATATAAATGTCCACCAACATGATTTAAGTTGCTCAATCTCACCAATAATTTTTATTAATAAAATGTAAACACCAACTCTTAGGTGCTGATGAAGAAATAGGGGAAGGCAGATCTTGTAGATAAGGGACACTAGATTAAAGAGCTAGAAGACTTGAAAGCTTATCACCTGTCCTATAAGACTCAGCAAATCATTTTCCATGCTTGGGACAATGTCCTAGTTTACATTTTCATGGAAGTTGCGTAAAGGATAATGTTGGTCTTGTGTCTCTTGCATCAGGCATAAACATGGCTTCTTATACCAATCCCCCTTCTCAGAGCAGCTCAGAACACTTACCACACCTTTCTCCTTGACCCTCACCTCTCTGGAAGATTAGAAGCAGAAGATTTATTGGATCAACTTCTCAGCTGTGGAATCTGAGCAAACAGAAGGGAAGTGGCTGAGGTAAGACACCCCGGCAGCCCTTGATGAATGTTGCAACTGATCCGGGGCACATGCCCTGTCCCCAAGGGGGTCTATGTGTACCACGGGGTCTGCTGTCCAGATGGCTGCATGGGGCATGGGGAGCAGGCAAGGGCTACACAATAGAAAGGTGAGCTGTAAGAAAGTGCACTGACTTTATTTTCAGGCAACCTCGGGTTGGGACTCTACCTCCTACTGCATATGCTGCTGCACGCATTGTCCCATCTTTTTGCATCCTGGGTTCCTCTTCCATAAAATGGGCACAGTACTCCTCATCTCCCAGTCCCTTGCCTTGCCATTGTCCTTACCACTCAATTGGACATATTTCAGAGACAGCCTTACCCTGCTGTTACTAACGGTTTCGGCTCCCCAAACTAAATCACATGACTTCATGGGCTAGAGCTGTGTCTCCGGAGAGGTCAGGGATCCCAGGGAGCTGACAGCACTGGGGCCCTGCCATCGTCACTTTTGAACTCGCAGCACCTGGCACACTGTGTTGCACATGGCACATGGAAGGTACTACAAAAGAATAGCTAGAGAATGAAAGAAGGAAACTATGGATGAGGGAGCCGAAGGTCAGAAAGGTGAAGTGTCCTGCCACAGGCCATATGACCCATTAATACCTGGCAAGCACTGTGCAGTCCACTTTCTTCTTTATCAAGGGCAACTGGAGAGGAGAAAACACAGCCAAGCATACTGGCTCATGAAGTCTCGTGTTTGCCAGGGAAAGTCCCATTTTACATCTGTTTTTTTCTTATGATTATAATAATAACAATGCCCACTTTTACTATCAAAAGTGTCCCTTTTTTCCTTAAAAATATGAACTGCTTCACGAATTTGCGTGTCATCCTTGAACAGGGGCCATGCTAATCTCTGTATCATTCCTATTCTAGTATATGTGCTGCTGAAGTGAGCACAGAAGTGTCCCATTTTGGATGATAAAGTCTCTGTTCTCGCTGTTATGAGGGAGAGTGGATGGAAGGTCTCTGTGTTTCCCTGACTCCATCTACTCTCCCACCCCTCACCTCTCCTGACCTGCCAGAAACACAATTAAAATGTCACTTCATTATCTATTCATTGAAAGCCACACTTGAACTGCACTCCCCACAAAGGCCACCTTCCCCCAGCAAAATCTGCCTCAAGAGTGCCCTCATGGCCTGTGCAATGGGGTGACGGGGTTCTCAGCTGCTTAACTGCCTTCCACTGTATCACCAGCAAGTGGACCAAAGATCCTGCCTCAGCATTCTTAGTGTGCTGAATGATGGGCACCTGCTTGCCAGGCCTGTGCCAAAGAAGCCCTCTACCCACACCCCACTAGCTAACTAGTATCCAGCCTTCCTATTCTGCAAGCGCATTTGGGCCTGAACAGCGACTCATCCATCACAGCTCCTGGGGGGCCTGGCAGCCTCTCCAGAGAAGGATGCGCAGGCTGAGATGAGAGCTGGGGTCTCTGAGATCCACCCACCTGGAGAAATGCTGGATTTGAGGGGAGGCAGAGAGGCATCATGAACACAGAGAAACTTCCCACCCAGGGGAGCTCACCAAACCCGGGGCAGCCTCAGGGATAAGCATTTTCAGACATGTTCAGGAAGGCATGGCTAGGATGTTGGATCAGGGGATGGGGCCAGCCCTCCCACTGGTCCTCAGACCTTTAGAGGAGGCCAGGAGGAGAAAAAGAGCCACTGACACCTTAACAGAGTAAGCAAGTACTCTTGGGAGAGCCCCTCCACACCTACGAAGTCATTCAAAGCCTGGGATCCGGAGGTGCCTCTCCCAGAGCCTTCCTCAGTTCAGTCACCTCACTAGGCCCACCCCACTCCTCTGCACCTGTCCCTTTTGCACTAACAGACGACAGAGACCCCCACTCCGCCCCTGTACGACTGCAGAGGCCTCTGTGGTTGCTGCCCAGGCCTTTCATGGGAGTGTGGTGCCTTCGCCAGGACTAGCCCTCTCTCCGCCCCACAGGGCAGGGACCCTTCACTTTCTGGTCCCACAAGGAGCTGTGCCCTGGGTTCTGCCTACAGCCTACACTCAACTGTCTCTTACCAGCCGCCTACCTGAAAGTGGGGCATTCAATCTGGAACCTGAGGTTGGCAGGGCCCAATCTGCTGGGCCTGGACCCAGAGACTCCCTTGGCAGTAGAAGAAGATGGCACCAGGTCTCACTTAACTCTTTCTCTGGCCCTGCCTGAGCTCTGGAGCCCCATGGTCCAGTGCTCCCAGCCCTGGCCCCAAGTTAAACAAGAGGACAAAACCCAGCTTGTGACTTCTTCCCCAAGCTGGCTGACACCTGTTTTCCCTAAGGGAGGAACCCAGGCTGGCTTTGGCCATCTCACCCCCTCCTAGAGAGCAATGGGTATGCCACACTGGGCACTCCTTGAGGTTAGGCCCTCAGCCCTCTTTCTTCTGAATTCCTCTCTTCTTCTAGCCCTCACTTCCCCTACCTAGGCCAGGCCCTTCACTCTGGGAAGAATATCCCAGGAATCATCCATCACCAAATTCTAGGAGCTGATCTCAGCAACTACGCGGCTGGAAGGAACCTGGAAAATCCACTGTGCCCATGATGGGAATGACCATTAATGCCTGGAGGGCAGGGATGCTGTACCCATCCCTGCAGCCCAAGCCCCAGCGCAACCCAGACACACAGCTCTCAACAGAGGCTTCCGGAACTGCGCGTGAGTCCTAGCTTGCTGTCTCCCTGGCTGCCCTGGAGGCTGGCCCAGAGCAGGCACATAGTAGGCATCTGTGAAGGAAGCAACAGGTTCCTGCCGGATCCTAGGTCCTGGGCTGGGCACTCTGACTACTTTATGTGGGGCAACAACCCTGCAAGGTAGATACCATCATCCTGTTGAATGGATGAGAAAATGGAGGCTCAGACAATGTAAGTGGCTTCCCTGAGGCCACTTGGCAAGTATCAGGCCAGACTTCAAGCTTAATCCTTCCAGTATCTGAAGCCTGTGGTCTTTCCGTTTTCATGTCAGTCACTCAATCCATGCATTTGGGGATATCAAAGCCAAATAAGAAGTAGCTCCAGCTCTTGGGTAGTTCATACTGAAAGAGGCAGACAGTTTTGTTCACAGCTACCTGGGACAAGAAACAGACGTGGCCAGGCCTGCCCCAAAAGCTGAAACCTACTGTGTAGGCTGTAGGCAGAGGAAGAAGGCCACTCTTCCTCTGGAGTTTGAGAAAGGCATCTGAGAAGAGGTGGCAGTGGATTCGGCCACAGACAGGACATGAGGAGGCTAAGGATGAGAATGGATTTTAAGCCGGTGGGAAGATGGGTCTGCATCAGGGGCTTCCCAGTGCCCTTAAATGTCATGATGGCCTGTCAGGCAGCCATTTGCACAGCCTGGTGGAGCAGGCAGGGGTGCAGGGAGGACTGGAGGCTGGGAATCTGCCCAGGACCTGTTAGGTTTCTCAGCAGGAGCTGCAGGCCTGAAGCAGGTGGGAGCATTGGGAGCTGGGAGCCGAGTTTGTGTGCCCTGCCTCCATGAGTGTGTCTGGGAGATTCAGGCGTCCTCCTGGCCTCCATCAGCGGGAGCTGGGGGAGAGGGAGACCAGTGAGCTCTGAAAGACACACCCACCACATCGTTGCACACTTATTTTTCCCACACACTTGACTGGCGTGGCCCACAGGGTCACAGGGAATGGCCTTCACTGGGCTGGCAAGTTGAGGGCAATGACAGCCCTCCGTTCCTTGGGCGGCCCCTCCTTCAGGGAGCTGGCCTGGGGCAAAGAGGGCCTTCTGCTCTGTCCCAGGCCAGCCTGCCACAGTGGGGGTGGGAAGGGCCGCCTGGTCCTGTCTGCTTCTCGCTTTTTCTGCCTTCAAGGTCAGCACAGTTCAGGGAGGAGACACTCACAGACTGTCCGAGCACAGGCGCTGTCTAGGGGGTGGTGGGAGGGGAGTGTGGGGCAGGAGAGGAGCCTCTGGCACAGCCATGAACTCACTGCAGAGCCTTCCCAGGCCTCAGTTTCCGTTCTGAGAATGGAGGCCTTGGAGCAACTTGAAAGCTTCGACTTTCCTCTAGTTCTTGAACATGCCGTCTTCCTCTTCCCAAGATGTTTCCAGACGGGAGTGGACAGTTAGTTTACTTCAAGTTTTGCTAGTTTTCTATTCCTACACTGTGATTTGAACAGTCCTGCTGTGTTTATGATGTTAGACCCAAACCTGACTAAGAAAATCAGTAGATCCCCTCAAAGTCCAGGAAACTCATGATGATTAAGCTTCCACTCCACGTCAGGCCCCACACCAACTGAAAAGGTTTATGTAGATTATCTCATTTCATCTTGACATCAACTCTGGGAAGTGGCTGTTATCATCTCCATTTCCCCTAGTTTGGCGTAATTTCTTAAAGTCCTGCAGTGGTTTCCCAGGACCTTCAGGATAAAATCCAAACTCCTCCCAGCCCACTTTTCTAGTACCACACCACTCCTAACTGGGCTAGTCCCCTCATGGATGGACTGCTTCTCCCACACACAGTCTCAGGGTCTACGATACATACCCCTTTCTCATCCATTCAACTTGTATCTTTCCAAGGCCTGACAAGTCCTTCTTCTCCCCAAGGAAGAGCAGGCAGTGGTGGGAGGCAGGTGAGGCCCTAGGGCACCACACTTAAGGAGGCACTCACTGTCAGGTGCCAGGCCTACACTTGCACGCCCCTGAGAGTGAGCACCTCTTTAAATTTTACACTGAGTGCCTCACTTGCCTCATCCTTGTCCTGGCCCTGCCCCAGAGACTCAATGCCCAACCCAAAGGACCTCTCCCTCCTCCAAAGTCCACAGCCCTTCCTAGTGGGTCCTGTCACTGGACTGTGTCACGGGGACTGATCTTGATGCCTCATGTGAATGTCCATCGCTACAGGGCAGAGACCACTTGTCCCCTGTCCCCATCCTAAAATCAACAGGGCTTGCTCCAGCTTCCAGACTGGCTCCCCATCTGCCCTCCCTCCTTCATCCTCCACCCCATCAACCTAGAATTCCAATTCATCTTTTAGAATCTATATGAAAATTATGGTTTAGCATTGTATAGCCATTAAAAATTATGTTTCCACATGGGTGAATTCTTCTATAACCTGGCTGACCTGGCTGCAAGAAGAAAAGATTAGATAATTTGACTATACAAACAAATTTATATGACAATTCCCATAAGTAAAGTCACAAGCAAATAATAAACTGGGAGAAAATATTTTTCACATATATCATACACAAAGGGCTAATGTCACTAGTATATAAAAGATTCTTAAAAATGGAGGGGCAAAGAACCAAAAATGCAATAGCAAATGGACAAAAGATATAAACAGATAATTCACAAAAGGCAATAGTAAAAATGATCATTAAACATGAAACAAATTTCAACTTCACTTATAATAAAATAGGTAAAAACTAAAATTACAATGAGATACCATTTCTTACCAGTGAGATTGGCAAGAATTCCAAAACTTGACAATAGCATCTGTTGGCAAGGTCGTGGGAAAACAGGAATGCAAACTGACACAACCCCATGGAGGGGAATCTGGCAACACCTAACAAAACTACATCCTCTTCAACTTGATAATCCCATTTTTAGAATCCCAAGCATATGAAACACACATGCACAAGCATTGTAGCATTATTTGTAGTTGCAAAATATGAGAAGCCACCTAAGTGGTCATCCGTAAGAGAGCAAGTGAATAAACCATGATATATACACACAATGGAGTATTATGCAGCTGTAAAAAAGAGTGAGGAAGACCTCTATGGACTGATATGAAGTGATTGCAAGGAAATATTATTGAATGAATAAAGTAAAATGTAAATACATCTAAATCTATATCTATCTGTCTACCTATCTATCTATATATATGCTACCTTTTCTGTAAGAAAGGGGAAATAAGACAACATATAATTTTGCTTCTCTTTATACAAATAAATAGATGCAT